CAGAAGAAAAACCAGAGTGACAGACTTCCCCTTGGAGTCTTCTCCTGAACCTGATCCAACCTTGCCTCAAATCAACCTGATCTCATTAGCTGCTAAACAAGAGATGGCGAAGAAGAGAGCAGTGAGGGCCCTGATCACCGAGATAAACTAGCCCAAGGTACCACAAACCGGTCAGACTCAGGAGACCGTGGTAGCCTTACCATCCCATCAGCCTTCATCATTCTGCCCAAGCAAGCGTGCTCGGACTTCCACAACCGAGCCACGCCTTGTCGACGAAGATGAAACCACCATTTCCCAATCCACACCACCAAGCCCACAACTGGAGCGCTCTGACCAAGCTAGCTCCTCCAAGTGGGTGCCTAAGGTCACATACAAGAACCGCGCTATCACTGACTCCGACTCAGTTGTCGCGGAAAAAGACCATTTGTTGGCCTTTAATCTGGCCAATAGCGTCTGTCTTCCAGCCGATATGGATCACCACGATCATCTTACCGAGCTGAAGGCCATTCGCTCGGCTACAAAATCAATGGTGTTGGTAAGTTCGCATTTTCCTTCTTCAAATTTCAACATCTTTTCGCTCTGTTTATCTCAAAATTGTTTATCTCCTTTTGCAGGCCTTACAAAAGAACCACATCGCCCACAAACGCTTATTGGAACTTCGAAAGACCACAAGGCAGGCCATGGCAAAGGCCAATGTTAAAACGACCGAGCTAAAAGAATCCCAGCAGAAGATAGCCGAGCTACAAGCCGAAGTAGCTCTGCTCACCAGCCTGGTCAATTCAGTCGAAGCAGATAAGCAAAAGACTGCGGCCGTACTGAAAGACAAATACCTGCGCGAGCTAGCCAAGCTCGAGGGAAAAAAGAACGCCGAGATAAAGGAATTGGAGAAGAAGACGGAAGACGCGGAAGACCGCGGCTATAAAGAGGGCGAGACCACTTATATCAAACAATGCGAAGCTGCCAAAAATATATTCTTCAAGTGTGGGTGGAAGGCGACGGTAGCACAGCTCGGTCATGGTCCAGAGACCGAGGTCTTTCAAAACCCTTCTCCATACTATATACCGAGATACATGGCGGAGTATGCCCAGGTCATTCAACAAAAATTTCTTCAAGTTGAGGATGACGAAGAAGAATCTGAGCGCAACAATGCCCCGGTCGTCAATGATCCCGCTGTTGAGTTAGCTCGGGTAGAGCCACCGGTGGAAGACTTGGTTGAGAATGTGACCGAGCCTCCTGCTAAAACCGGGCTCCGAGTTGACTTGGATGCGGATCTTGATGACCTCTTTGCTTGATCTTGTATTTTCTTTCTTTTTATTTTAGGAAAGAAACTAAAACTGTAACCGGGCTGAGCCCCACCCTTTGTACTTTTGAACTTTGTATGAAAGCTTCTTTTGTTTCAACTGTTGTTTCGGTTTACTTCCATGCTTGCATTTACTTTCCAAATGTAATCTTAATGTAGCACAACACTTTTTGGCCGAGATACCTATCTCGGTCTTATCCTTGAAATCTCTGATAATACCTGCCAACCTCTTCAGCCTAGGTTTTTACCTCGGCTGAAGATTACCAAAAGTTGTTAGTCCTGCCAACCACTCATCGGCCTTGATCCTTATCACGGTTAAGGAGTACTTAAGTGTTAGTTTTTTCAGCTAACCACTCTTTAGCCTTGATCCTTATCTCGGCTAAAGAGCAATAAATGTTGGTTTTTCCAGCCAACCACTCTTTAGCCTTGATCCTTATCTCGGCTAAGGAGAGCTCAAAGTTGGTTTTTCCAGCCAACCTCTTCAACCCAGATCCTAATCCTGGCTAAAGAGAGCTCAAAGTTGGTTTTTCCAGCCAACCACTCTTCAGCCTAGATCCTTATCTCGGTTGAAGAGTACTAAGTATTGATTTTTCCGGCCAACCTCTTCAGCCCAAATCCTGATCTTAGCTGAAAAGAGCTCAAATTATTTTAGGAAAGAAACTAAAACTGTAACCGGGCTGAGCCCCACCCTTTGTACTTTTGAACTTTGTATGAAAGCTTCTTTTGTTTCAACTGTTGTTTCGGTTTACTTCTATGCTTGCATTTACTTTCCAAATGTAATCTTAATGTAGCACAACACTTTTTGGCCGAGATACCTATCTCGGTCTTATCCTTGAAATCTCTGATAATACCTGCCAACCTCTTCAGCCTAGGTTTTTACCTCGGCTGAAGATTACCAAAAGTTGTTAGTCCTGCCAACCACTCATCGGCCTTGATCCTTATCACGGTTAAGGAGTACTTAAGTGTTAGTTTTTTCAGCTAACCACTCTTTAGCCTTGATCCTTATCTCGGCTAAAGAGCAATAAATGTTGGTTTTTCCAACCAACCACTTTTTAGCCTTGATCCTTATCTCGGCTAAGGAGAGCTCAAAGTTGGTTTTTCCAGCCAACCACTCTTCAGCCTAGATCCTTATCTCGGTTGAAGAGTACTAAGTGTTGATTTTTCCGGCCAACCTCTTCAGCCCAGATCCTGATCTTAGCTGAAAAGAGCTCAAAGTTGGTTATTCCTACCAACCTAGAGCGAAATGTTTAGTTATTCCTGCCAAACGACCTGCAGCCTCGATCCTTATCTTGGCTTAGGAAAAGTGTTGGTTTTTCCAGCCAACCTCTTCAGCCCAAATCCTAATCTTAGCTGAAGATAGCTCATAGTTGGTTATTCCTGCCAACTTAGAGCGAAGTGTTTGGTAATTCCTGCCAAACGTCCTGCAGCCTAGATCCTTATCTTAGGCTTAGGAGAAGTGTTAGTTTTTCCAACCAACCTCTTCAGCCCAGATTCTAATCTTAGCTGAAGATAGCTCATAGTTGGTTATTCCTGCCAACTTAGAGCGAAGTGTTTAGTTATTCCTGCCAAACGTCCAGCAACCTAGATCCTTATCTTAGGCTTAGGAGAAGTGTTGGTTTTTCCAGCCAACGTCTTCAGTCCAGATCCTAATCTTAGCTGAAGATACCTCATAGTTGGTTATTCTTGCCAACTTAGAGCGAAGTGTTTGGTTATTCCTGCCAAACGTCTTGCAGCCTAGATCCTTATCTTAGGCTTAGGAGAAGTGTTGATTTTTCCAGTCAACCTCTTTAGCCTAGATCCTAATCCTAGCTGAAGAAAGCTCAAAGTTGGTTATTCCGGCCAACTCTAATTTCATTGCCCCTAGTTCCCTAAAACTATTTTTACAGAGGAAAACAATTATACTGAAAAGAAACTACTTGTTTTATTAAAAGGAAAGATTACAAATACTTTTAAAGAAAAGCTAAAAATAAAATAGTTTGAGATTGGCAGTGTTCCATGGCCTGGAAATGACCTTGCCGTCTCCATCCTCTAAGTGGTATGCCCCTTTTCCTGCTAATCCAATCACTTTGTATGGTCCTTCCCAATTAGGCCCTAACTTGCCGTCTCCGGGTACTAGAGTATTTCCCATTACTTTGCGCAGCATCCAATCTCCAATCTTGAATTACCTTGGATGTACTGTCTTGTTATATTTTTTGGATAACTCTTGCTGGTATGAGGCGATGTGAACCAGTGCTTTTTCTCTTCTTTTTTCCGCAAGGTCGAGTTCCAAGGCTATGGCTTCTCCATTTAACTCTGGGTCAAAATTTTCGCTTCTGATGGTGGGGAGGCTAATTTCCAGTGGGATTACTGCTTCCATGTCGTAGGCTAAGGAGAATGGCGTTTCTCCGGTTCATCGCTGAGGTGTAGTACGATAGGCCCATAAAACATGAGGAGGCTCTTCAGTCCACTTTCCTTTTGCTTTGTCTGACCTTTTCTTCAATCCATCCAAGACGACTTTATTTGATGCTTCTGCCTGGCCATTTGCTTAGGGGTATGCTGGTGTAAAGTTATAGAATTCTATCTTGTATTCCTCACAAAAGCCTCTAAAGATTTTGTGATCGAACTGAGTGCCGTTATCAGATATTAAAGCCTTGGGTATGCCAAACCAAGTGATGATATTCTACCAAACGAACTTCTTCACATCCTTCTCCTTTATTGAAGCGAGTGTTTCTGCCTCCACCCACTTTGTGAAATAGTCTGTTGCTGCAAGAAAGAACTTCCTATTACCGGGTGCCGTTGGAAGTGGTCCTACTATGTCCAAGCCCCACATTGCGAAGGGCCACGGGCTAGTTAATGGCAGAAGTTCTCTAACGGGCTGATATATTTGGCATGCGAACTTCTGACATTTCTTGCACTTCTTCACATACTTCTCTGAATCTGCTTGTATGTAAGGCCACCAATATCCCTGTGAAATTGCTCTATAAGCCAACGATCTCCCTCTTTAGTGGCTTCCGCATACGCCTTCGTATATCTCGAACAAGAATGCCTCAACCTTGCTGGGATGGACGCATTTCAAGTAAGGTCTTATAAAGGATTTTTTGTACAAGGCCATTGACGCGGAGAGCCAAAATTGCTGCGACTTTGCTCTTATTTTGTTGGCATCTTTCTTCTCTTCGGGTAAGATGTCGTCCTTTAAGAACACTATAATGGGATCCATCCAAGAAGGACCTAGTTCGGCATAACATACTTCGGCTTCTTCGGGTTCTTCAATGCTTGGTCTTGGTAGGAAGTCGATCAGTAACGGATGTGTTATGGATATGTCTGCTATTGCAGCAAAACCTGCTAGTTCATCTGCTCTATTGTTTTCTTCCTTGCCGATCTGCTCTATCCGCACTATTTCAAACTTCATGATCTCTTTCCTTACTAATTACTGGTACTTAGCTATCCTCTCATCCTTTGCCTCATAATCACCTGAAATTTGGTTTACAACTAGCTGGGAGTTACTGTAAACCATTAGCTCGGTTGCCTTCAAATAGAGTGTTGATTTCAGGCCCGCTAAAAGTGCTTTATACTCCGCCTCGTTGTTTGATGCTGGGAAGCCAAGGTTGACTGCTTGTTCCACTACTAGGCCATCCGGTGAGATGAGAACTATGCCGAGTCCTGCACCGTGCCTGTTAGACGCTCCATCCACAAAAAGCTTCCACATCTCTCCAACGAATAGCTACCAGCAAGTTGAGGGGTTGGACGATGTCTTTGGGTCGTGAGTGTTGCTGATGTTTTCTTCCAAGTTCACACCTTCTGTTGGGGTTTGCTCTTCACTGTCTGTCTGCCCCAAGTTATGACTTATTGATGAGTCTTCATTAGGGATGGCCTGGTTTATTCCTTCCTTCTGATCCTTAAGCCTGTTTGGTTTGCACTGTGGCGAGGTGTCTTGTATTAGGGGTTGCGCAATTCCTGCGGCACTTTCCGTCCCCATTTCGGTTGTACTAGTCAAGTCAACAGGGCATATGTGATGACTTCCTGGAGTGAACTCTGTCACAAAATCTGCCAAAGCTTGGGCTATTATTGCTGTTCTGGGCTGAAACTTGATATCGAACTGTCCCAATTCTACCGCCCACTTCAAGATTTACCCAGAAAAGTTCGTCCTCTCAAACAAAGCTTTTAACGAAAAAGCTGTTAGGACGATTATGGTGTGGGCGTGGAAGTAATACGACAGCTTCCTTGAGACCATCATCAAGGCTGAGGCCAATTTTTCCAATGGCAAGTACCTGGTTTCTGCGCCCAGCAAGGTTTTGCTTATGTAAAAGATGGGCAGGTGTTGGATTCTTTCCGCTCTAACCAACACTGCGCTGACTGCGTGCTGTGAAACTGCTAGGTACAAAAAGAGCTCTTCCCCGGCTACTGGGGTTACTAGCAAAGATGGAGAAGACATGTACTCTTTCAAGCTTTCTAGAGCGTAGTCGCATCTTTCATCCCACTCAAACTTGGCCTTCAATACTTAGAAGAATTGTCGACATCTGTCTGACGATCGACTTATGAACTGGTTGAGCGTAACTGCTAGAATAGCGAGATACTGTACTTCCTTTACTGTGTTAGGCTTGTCAAGAGCCTAGATTGCTTTGATCTGAGAGGGGTCTGCCTCTATACCTCGGTTGGTCACCAGGAAGCCTAGGAATTTGCCTGATCCTACGCCGAACGCACACTTAGAAGCATTAAGGCGCAACTTGTTCTTCTTCAGGATCTGGAACATTTCATCTACGTCCTTGAGATGGTCCTTCTCATCCTTGCTCTTGACCACCATATCGTCCATGTAAGACTCCATTGTTCTGCCTAACAATGGCTCGAATGTCTTGGTGATCATCCGTTAGAATGTTGCCCATGCGTTCTTTAAGCCAAAGGGCATAACCTTGTAACAGTATAATCCTTTGAGCGTTGTAAAGGATGTGACCTCCTAGTAAGGCTCACACATAGCAATCTGATGGTAACCTCTATACACATCAAGGAAGCTAAGTCGATTATGGCCTGCTGTCAAGTTTACCAGTTGGTCTATCCTAGGTAAGGGAAAGCTATCTTTTGGGCATGCCTTGTTAACTGTTTTGTAGTCTACGCAAACGTGCCATTTTCCATTCTTCTTTGGCACCACCACTGTATTGGATATCCATTTGGGATAGTGCACTTCTCTGATAGCTCCTGCCTCTAGAAGGTTTCCCACTTCTTCTGCCACTATCTCAGCGTGGTGGAGTGCTGATCTGCGAGTGCGCTGTATAATTGGTCTGGCAGTTGGGTGGACGTTCAGTTGGTGACAGATGAAGTTCAGGTCTATGCCAAATATGTCATACGGTGTCCAAGCAAACACTTCGATGTTAGAGGTTAAAAATTTCATGACCTCTATCCTCTCAGTGCTGGACAAAAACGAGCCAAGCAAAAAAAACTTTTCTGGATCTTTTTCATCTATTCTTACCTGTACCAAGTCTTCCATCGCCTTCTATTCAGCTGCCTTGCCCACATCCGCAAACGGTTTATTACTCTCAGGTTCTTCCACCATTTGTACATATCCCTTGGCAGCGCGGCTGCCATTTACTGTGACGAAGCATTGTTTGGACATAATTTGGTCTCCAAAGACCTCTTCAATTACACCAGCTTCGTTGGAGAACCGCATTACCTGATGGTAGGTTGACTATATACACTCGTTTTGAGGTTTGTACTATATAAAAAATATGACAGTATTAAATGCTTTTAAATCATAACTAAAAAATGTTAGCAAATCATAACCAAACACCACATGTGTTATAACAAGGGTATACATGTAACTTAGTGATCAAATAACTAATCCTTTGATGGGGTTATATGGCTGAGGTCAATGATGAAAGCAACTTTGAAAATGTTGTAACATATTTCGATAACCATAAAAAAAGATGTAATTAAAATTCTAATGAGTTTTGGACCAAAATGGAAATAGGAAAAAGTTTTACCATGTGGAAAGTGTAGTACGTCATGTGGTAAATCACATGGTGTGATGAATAGTGAATGTTTTATCACCTATAAATAAATGAGTTGGCATAGTAATGAATATATAGAAAAATTGTGTATTATATGTGTGATCCTTTATTTCATCTTCCATTGTGGCTCTTTACTTTTTATTTTCTTTAGTTTTATAATACGTTATCAGCACAAGATTCTGACAAGTTGAGAAGGAAAAGTGGAATCACATACAAATAAGGTTGGTGTGGTTTTTCTACAAAGTGATTAATGTAAATATAAATAAATTTTGAATAAATATTTTATAAGAGCAGTTCATGATAAGGCTAAATCTATATTTTTCTTAATATATTCAACAAATACTAAATATATTATTATTGTTGTGTTGAGTGTACAGATATGTCAAATTCTTCAAAATCAGAATTCATAGATCTTGATATTTCGAGAAATTTATTTATTTTGGATATTTGATGTTGAGATTCACCTTGAGGTAATGGATCTTAGAGATACCATAAAAAATGAAAATGAAAAATCCCTGAAGGATCGCGCAAAGGCAATGATACCCATTCATAACCATCTCTAAGAAGAATTAAAACTGAATACCCCACGGTAACAGATTCACAGTTTTTGTTTAATAATTTGAAGAAGAAATACGAGTACCAGAAGACTGTAAACCTCCCAAAAAGCTCCCTATAATTGATTGTACCTGAAGTTGTAAAATTATGAATCTGTTAGTGAGTGCAATCTATAGAATATGTGTTGAAATATTTACCCTGATAATATGCTCCTGTAGTAGCAATATAAAGAGCGTTGATCTACAAAGTACTCTGAACTGATTTCATGCCTTCTTGTAGATGAACAAACTAAGCAACTTTTATTGAAAAATCATCAATCCCGCCTTAATGACTCTGTTCCATTCCCTGAAGTGAATGAGGTTGCATTTTATGGTCGTAGATAGGGGAGAAGTCATGGTTTTGGACATAGCTGAGGTAAAATTATAGAATTGGTAGGAAAAATGTTCAGAAACATTTGAACATAAATATCATGCCATTCCACTTGAAATGGAATAATCCTAAGATATCATAGGAAAAAGGGAAAGTTTTACCTAATAGAAAAGAGAGTGATTACTATGCATAAATAATTATTGTTCATCTTTTTTCACCCGGAAGTTCGCTAAATGAGGTTGCATTTCATGGTCTCAGACAGGGGAGAAGTCATGGTTTTGGACATGGCTGAGGTAAAATTACAGAATCCGTAGGAAAAATGTTCAGAAATATTTGAGCAAAAATATCATGCCATTCCATCTAAAATGGAATAATCCTGAGATATCATAGGAAAAAGGGAAAAGTTTACATAATAGAAAATAGAGTGATTACTATGCATAAATAATTATTGTTAATCTTTTTTCACCCGGAAGTTCACTATTTATCATTGTGCATTCTTTTAACAATTTTCTCAAAATACTATTCATCAACAGAATTTTACTATTGAAATCTTTTCCACTTGGAGCGTTTGTCTTCTAGATAACAAACCTCAATAAAAGAAAAAAGAAAAGATTGTTGGTAATGAAAATATTCACACTGATTTTTTAATATTATATTTATTTTAGTTATATTTTTGGAATTTATATTTTTCTATTTGATCATGTTTTGGAAATGATTATTAGCTTTCTATATACATAGATTGTATTGATGTATTGTCTAATTCCAAAATGTTGAGTAAAACATTAATTTAGTAGACAGAAAGACACCCATAATTCTTTGTAATGAAAAACATTTGAGGATGACAAAAGTTAATATAAAATCTCAAGTTCTGCGAATTTGATTGAAAGCTCTCGAAGAGCCAATAGTATGATTATCAAATGGAATCAAATTCGATATTGGTGAAATATATTCTACTAAATCCAGAAGACATCTGTTAAGTTTTAAGGGTAAATTACACTGACACCCCTTAAGGTTTAGGTTTATTACAGTTCCCCGCTCACCTTTTAGAAATTACATCTCCCCTCTGAGGTTTAAAGTTTCATTACAGATTCTCCCCCTTAGCAATTTAATTTTTTTTAATTACCAATTTTGCCCTTATTGGGTACATTACATTGACATCCCTCACATTTTAAAAATTACAATCCCCTCCCTAAGGTTTAAAGTAACATTACCAATTGCCTCCTTGGTTAGTATTAGTTTGAAAAAAAATTAATTGAAAAAAAAATTAATTGGAAAAAAAAATTAATTGAAATTTTTTTTATAGTAAAATTTTTAAATTTCTCTTTAAAAACCAACGTAAGCTCATTTTTTGAATTTACGCTTTTTTCTCAAATTTACAAACTGAGACAACCATTTATAAACCCAAAAAATTATCAAAAAAGTTTTTATGGCAATTTTTAAAATTTTTGTAAATATAAATTGAAACTGAAAAAAAAAATTAATTGGAAAAAAAAATTAATTGAAATTTTTTTTATAGTAAAATTTTTAAATTTCTCTTTAAAAACCAACGTAAGCTCATTTTTTGAATTTACGTTTTTTTCTCAAATTGACAAACTGAGACAACCATTTATAAACCAAAAAAATTATCAAAAAAGTTTTTATGGCAATTTTTAAAATTTTTGCAAATATAAATTGAAACTGAAAATGAAATGGTTACCAAATAGGCTTTAGATGGTAAAAATGTCGTAAAATTAACAAATAATTAAATAAGTTACCAATGTAAGAAATGACTTATCAAAAGATTCTTAGGCTATGTATGGTTTGATTTTTAGAATTTTTTTTTAAAAAAAATTAAAAATTAATTTGGTTAAGAAATACAAAATAAAAAATAATTATCATTTTTATATAATTTTTATCTTTCGAGTGATTAGAAATAATTTTTTACAAATTAAATTGAAACAACCATACGTATGTATATAACCTGCCTAAAAGTTAAAATGATAATTATTTTTTACCCTTAAATGATAACTATTTTTTATTTTTTATTTCTTAACCAAATTAATTTTTAATTTTTAAATTTTTTTTTTCTAAAAATCAAACCATACATAGCTTAAGAATCTTTTGATAAGTCATTTGTTACGTTGGTGACTTATTTAATTATTTGTTTATTTTACGACATTTTTACCATCTGAGGCCTGTTTGGTAACCATTTCGTTTTTAGTTTTCAATTTATATTTACAAAAATTTTAAAAACTGTCATAAAAACTTGTTTGATATTTTTTTTGGTTTATAAAAAGTTGTCTCAGTTTGTAAATTTGAAAAAAAAACGTAAATTCAAAAAATAAGTTTACGTTGGTTTTTAAACAAAAAATTTAAAAATTTTACTAACAAATTTTTTTTTCAATTAATTTTTTCCCACTTAATTTTTTTTTAATGAATTTTTTTTCCAACTAATACTAACCGAGGGGGTAATTGGTAATGCTACTTTAAACCTTAGAGAGGGGATTGTAATTCCTAAAATGTGAGGGGTGTCAATGTAATTTACCCAATGAGAGCAAAATTGGTATTTAAAAAAATTAAATTGCTAAGGGGGGGAATCTGTAATGAAACTTTAAACCTCAGGGGGGAGATGTAATTTCCAAAAAGTGAGGGAGGAAACTGTAATAAAAATAAACCTTAGGAGGTGTCAATGTAATTTACCCAAGTTTTAGAGTTATATGTTTGGTTATTGAAACCATAAATACAGGTAAAAAATAATATTTATATATTACTTCTTCTGAAGTTGCTTGATATTCATATGAGTTGTATTATCTATATGAAGTTGCTTGAATCAAATATTGAGATACAGCAGAAGTGCTCCAACTTAATGCACTGGAAGTATTATAATCCAAAAAGCGATCATGTTAGGGCATGATTACCCTGATCATCCAGGATCTATAAGGATGTATTGAATTATTAAAAATTCAAATAGGATATCCATTAAAGAACCAAAAGATTCTTTTACCGAGAGATTATCCATCAAGCGATTATCAATGCTCTGTCTATTCACTAAGAAAATTAATTATTAGACTATCCTATTCATATCAATATAGACTATTTGTTATTTCATGATTTTGATAAATATATTAATTAGATACTCTCATTCGTAACACAACTTTATTGCATACATGTTGGTATTGATGTCAAGCATTTTACTGCCCATGTTCATACTCAAAATGGTATAGTTTAATATTTAATTAAATGGCTTTAATTGATCGCTCAACCTTTACTTATGAAAAATAAATTACTTGTTTCAGTATGGGATCATGCTAGACCAATTGTATACATGAGTACTTACCATTATAACCATAAAATATTATTTATTTAGAATGTTTGGTTATACTGTATATGTTTCTATTGCAAATGGGTCCTTAACGTAAACTTGGAGTTTATGTTAGTTTTGATTCTCCATTTATTATTAGAAATCCTAAATCCTTTGCATGCGATGGATTTGGAACATGTTTTGAGGATTGTCATTTTGATGAAACAGTCATCCCATCATCATGGGGAGAAAAGTCGAAACCTGAAACTTGACGTGAAATCATTTGAAATAATTCGATATTATCTTATCTTGATCCTTGTACTAATCAAAGTGAACTAGAAGTTCAAAGGATTATTTATTTGCTAAGTATAAGCAAATCAATTACTAGATGCCTTCACCGATACTAAAAATATAATAAAATTCTATATTCTAGCTGCTAATGCTCCAACAAGAATTGATGTTCTCGAAGGGCAATCTACTGGTATAGCTGTAAATGTATCTAAAGTCACACTAGAAGTGTGGTAGACTTGTCGGTTGAAAGGACAAAGTTTCTTGAAAGAAAAAAACAATTAATATTCCTAAAGAGATCATATCTAGCACTCTTGAAGAGGCTAAACCCACAAAAAATTCTTAGTGCTCCTAGAGAGGTTAGACCTACAAAACAGACTATTATAAATCTATTTAAATCTCGTACTTATAAACCTTTTGAAGAAGAACCTCCAGAACAAGAATCTCCCAAAGAGTTATCCCCTGCAATGGAATCTCCTGAAGAGTATCCCCTGAAGTGGAACCTTCTGAAAAGTTATCCCATGAAGTGGGAGAGGTACCTGAAAATAATGAGATCTCAATACATTATATAAGTACAAAAGATATTCGTGATAGAAATTAAATTGTTATCGATAACATATTTTCGTTTAAAGTTGCTTTTGATATTACCAGAAGTAATGGTGAAAGCAAGAAGTGATGATAATAATAAACCACAAATCGTCGAAGAATGACGACGTAGAAATAATTGGCCAATGTGGAAAGAAGCAATACAAGTAGAATTAAACTTGCTTATAATAACGTGAAGTATTTGAATCTGAAGCCTAACCCCTTGAAGGGACATAGCCTGTCAAATATAAGTGGGTATTGTTGTATATAAGTGGGTATTGTTGTATATAAGTGGATATTTGTGCTATAGCGCAATGAGAAAAATAAAATTGTTAGATTTAATGCTCGATGCAAGGTTTCTTGTAGAAACTTAGTATTGACTATAAGAAAATTTATTCACCCATAATGAATGCAATTGCATTTCGATTTCTCATCAGCTTGGAAATCATAGAAAATTTAAATATGCTTTTAATGGATGTGGTTACAACATATTGATGGATCACTAGATAGTGATATATATATACACAAAAGTGAGGATTCTGGATTTGCAATTGTTGCAGTATATGTTGAAGTTTTGAATCTTGTGGAACTCCAGAAGAGCTTACATAAATTGCAGAATATATAAAATGGATTTGAAATGAAAGATCTTAGCAAAACAAAATTTTATATCGGCCTGTAGATCGAACATTTGCCAAATGAGATTCTTGTTCATCAATTAAAAAGTCCTGAAGCACCTTTATATGAAAAAAGCTCATCTATTAAATACTCGAAGCCATTGAAATGAAAGCAAATATTACATTATTTTCGTGGAATAACCGATATGAGTTTATTTTATTTAAATAAATCAAAGCCGCAGCTAATTGGATATGCAGATGCTGGACACCTTTCTGATCCACATAAAGCCAAATCATAAACAATATATGTTTTTATCTATGAAAATACTGCTATATCGTGGCGGTCAGTAAACAAACATTGACAGCTACTTCTTCAAATCATTCAGAGATACTTGCAATTTATAAAGCTATTCGAGAATGTATTTGGCTTAGATCCATGATCCATCATATTCAAGAAAGATGCAGATTGTCTTCAACAAAAGATAGTCCAACCATATTATATGAAGATAATGCTGCATGCATCACACAAATCAAATGTGGCTATATCAAAGATACGCTCAAGTGATAATTTGGCAAATCTATTTACTAAAGCACCACCGACTGCAACATTCAAGAAGCCTGGTTGAGATGCGTTGACATAAGATCTATTATGCAATATTGAGGGGAAGTCAGTTATTTAAGCAGATTTGTAAATTGTATTATTTTTCCTTCATCTAAGATTTTTTCCCATTGAGTTTTCCTTAGTAAGGTTTTCATGAGGCAATATTTAGACAAATTATATACAAGGATATTGTACTCTTTTTCCTTCACCAAATGTTTTTTTCTCACTGGATTTTTCTTGGTAAGATTTTAACGAGACATATTTTTAGTATATGGTTATCCAAAAAGGAGTGTTGTGAAATATTTGAATAACCATAAAAAAAAAAAAAAGAGATGCAATTTGAATTCTAATGAGTTTTGGGCCAAAGTGAAAGTAGGAAAAAGTTTTACCACGTGGGCAATGTGGTAAATACATGGTGTGATGAATAGTAAAGGTTTTATTACCTATAAATAGGTGAGTTTGCATAGTAACGAATATATAGAAAAATTATGTATTACATGTGTGATCTTTTATTTCCTCTTCCATTGTAACTCTTTCTTCTTTATTTTCTTTAATTTTGTAATAGAAAACACTTTCTTTTTTTTTCTTTTTTTTTTTGAGAACCAACCTTGAAAACACTTTGAATGCAATGAGATTGGTTTACCCAACAAGCATTTGGTGTTAATTTGACTATCAATTTAGAAGAGAGCATTATGTCACAAAATCACTTTCAGAATCCCTCAGTGACCACTGAATCATTACCATTTCTTGAGTTCTTAGTTTGACCTTTAATGGGATTGGCCTTATGCAGGGAGGGATCAGCGACAAAGCTAAGAATTTTATCTTCGAGAAGGTCAAGAACATGTTTACAAAAGAAAAAGTTGATTTTTCTTAAATTTTAATTTGAATTTGATTGTTATGTTTGGACTTGTAAGGTCCACATGAATTATGTTTCAATAATTCGAATTATTCATTTTATATGGTCCTCTACATATATTATTTATGAACAAAATTAAGTCGATATTATAATCGTAATTTTTTAGTTTTGTCATAGTTATTTTTAGAAAAAAAAAATAGAAGACAAGTGTGTTTTAAAAAATAAACCATCTAATTTTTTTTAAAAACCAATATGATAAAATAAAACGGCTATAATTATTATATTGATCTAACTTTTTTCACATATAGTCATAAGGAGGGCTCTATAAAATGAGTTGTTTGAATAATTGGAGTAGGCCTTGTGGTGAGCATTGCGAGCCAAATATAACGGCCAAGTTTATATTTAAATTTAAGAGATGGTTAACCTTTTTAAAAATAATAGGACTGACAAATTTGTAATGAGAGAAAAACACATACATACACACAAAATGAAAAAAGACAAAACAAAATATAATAATGCCAAATGATAATATATTTTTAACTATTTAATCTGATACACCCACAACCATTAATAAAATAGGTTTTCACATAAATCTCATTAATAATGAACTACATTATAAGTGTTAATGTAGTAAACAAAACACTTATGGTGTGTTTGGTTGGGGGATTTGGGGAGAGATTTGAAAAGAGAAAGGGAAAAGGTGTGTGAAACTATGTGAAATATAGGCATGATTTATTCACATTTCACATACCTTTTCCATTTCCCTTTGCAAATCGCTCTCCAAATCCCCCGACCAAACACAACATTAGTTGGGATTTTAAAGTTATAATGTGATACTCTTTACACTTTCTTCCCCTTTATTGATATGATTCACACTTTGTATCCTTATTTTCATAAATAAAGTTTTACTTTTTGCTGATAAAAAACATAAATAAATAAAAACACGATAAATTTAACATTATTAAATAAAATAATATTTTTACCATTTTGCCAAAAAGAAAAAAAAATAATCTAAAGTAAAGGTCTACTATAACTCAAAATATGGAATTAAACGATCAATCTTTCTATAGAAAAACAGAAATACCATCAATAATCTTTAGACAAGAAAAGATAAAAGTCAAAATTAATGTAAATCTTAAATCAACACCGACATTCTACACATCAAAGTTCAAGAACCTATCTATTTATCAGTTTAAAAGTCAATATGACTATCAATCCCACTTTTGTTTTTAGGACTGGAAAAACTTCACTTCTTTTCCCACTATCTCCATATATTGTACATGAGGCTTATATTTGACTTGTTAAATGAATTAAATTGGATAAAATTTCTCTATATACACAAATCTTGAAATGTCTAATCACTATAAAAAATTAAAATTTTAGAGATCAAAATTTAGGGGCAAAATTATTTTTTAGGAATTAAATAATTTTGTTACAAAAAGTGTCATTATTATATTTTTAGTAACAAAAATTAGACATTAGTGATGAATTATTATCTTTTTGGGACCAAATTTTTTATCTTAAAAAATAAACCATTTTGAGATTAAATTATTTTGTCCCTAAAAGTCTATTTATTAGTGACATTTTCAAAATTTTATCGCTGAAAGCCTCATTTTTGACTTTTCGAGACGACCTTTTAGCAACTATCCTCATGGCGATGGAAATTGATTACTAAATGTCTTTTGCAACAAAATTTTTACTTTTAAAGATCAAAACATTTAATTTCTAAAACTCTTATATGTTGTAGTGAATTTAGAATAACATTTTAGTAATTTATCCATAAAGAGGGTCATTCCAAATAAATATCATGTTTCTTAAAATAAACTAATCTTTTATATGCGAGGTAAAAAGAATCGCATGAGATTAAACGCTATCAAACGCAACATAATTTAATTGAAATTATTTAATTTAATCCTACTCTTTATAAATGTTTCCTTCACCTAGCTATGATGTGCTATTGAGGTCTCCTTTGAATTTGAATTATTTTATTGACTCTTTTGACTTTTTTGTTTTCTTTATGAAGTGAAAAAAATATATATATATATATATTTTAGAATTTTTTTAAAATTTTTTTTTGTAGAAAAACATAAATGACTGCTTAATGTGATTGATTTTTTTTAACCTAAAAACTAAATTCCAAACAAGACCTTAACCAAAACCACTTTTTTCATGTTGTGGTTCAAAACCATGTTGTCGATCGATACGTCACTTTTTGAGGGGACTGCATGTAGCCCACACCAAATCACTTAAGCCATGACCTATTTTGATAGCTTTTATGAATGAATGTTGTCAAATTTCAAGGCAATTTGAAGCCTATACTATTACATTACTCATCACATAACTCCATATTTGAAAAAGTTATTCAAAATCAATCGTGACATTTTTATGTAGTGTCAGGAATAGAATGTGGTTAGGGTATACAGTTTTGGCAACCAAAAAAAAAAAAAACACCTCTTTTTTCAATTTTTTTTTTTTTGGTCTTTAGTATTTCTTTTTAAAATTGTCAAATTTTAAATTTTTTTTATAACTTTTCTAGTTTGTCTTGTTTAAACAAATCTAAAAAGTATAATTTTTTGAAAAATTTCAAAAAAAATCACTAAAAATGAAATTAAGCCAAAAAATATTGTTTTTTTTGACTTTTTTTGGGCTTATTTTTGTCCTTTTGGAATTTTTTAAAAAAATTAATTTTCTGGTGTGTCTTGTCCAGTTGAATTTAGAAATCTAAAATTTTTTGAAAATTTTAAAAATAAATTTACTAAAGACAAAAATAAGCCAAAATAAAAAAAATTAAAAAAAAGCAATTCGTAATATTTAGAGTGATAGTAAAAAATTGCAATTGATAACTAGCGTGTAACATGACCACGTGTTGTGCCCCATTAGACTAGACGAATTTGAATAAATAAATAAATATTTGAAAAAAAGAGCCAAAAAATGTCTGTAGCGAAGGTTTCTTGGATTTTTTAATTTTTTTTTAAAATCTTTTTTTTGATTCTTCTAGATGGAACAAACTTGACAAAATATCCAAAAAAAAAAAAAAAAAATTTAAAAACGTTTTTTTTAACTATTGACAAATCAATTCCCATATTTGCTTTGAATGAAATGAAAGTTGACAATGCATAAGTTGGCGTGAATAGTCATTGTCATGATGAAGGAAATGGATGGTTAAT